CGGGCGCGACACTGAGGGTTGCGATCTGTTGCTGGACACGAAAAAAGACAAAAAGGAAAAATAAATAAATAAATAAATAAATAATTACTGGGGAGGCGGGGTATCACAGGAGGGAAAATCCAATGAGGAAAGTCAGCCAAATGATCATTTGAGACAATTTGAGATTTAAGAAATTAGGCACTATAAAATTAAGCTCAATAAATTATACTACCACGGTTGTATTTTCAGTGTACAAGAAACCAACCATTGGATCATTCAAAACACAGTGTTTAACATTTTTATTTTTAAGTCTGCTTTGGTAGTACAAAAATCGTAAAAGTACAAACCAGACAGTTAAAAATACATTTGACACTCAAAATGGTGAAAAATTTTCCTTTACAAATTTTTACATCAAGGTGGTAGCCAACTCATTTATGACACCGAGAAGCCGTGCATCATTAGTGTTTTGTCCAGTAAGTTTGTTGTAGATCCCCAATCCTTCTAAAGAAGAAGGAAAAGCAACAAGACCAGTAAACATCCGTTACTTTGGGAACACTTAAGAATTCTCATCCGATTGTACAATATAAACTGGTAAAAAGCTTAGGTGTTGAAAATATTGAGTGCTGAATTTTTGGCATGTTTGAAAGTCAGCCCGACAAAAACTGCTCAAGTTATTAGAAAATACTTAAAATGTACTCTTGGTATAAATACAATTTTAAATATTCTTGAGTATTCTCTTGCCTGTCATATTGCTATTTTTAAAAAGTGCTCTGACTTGAATAAAATTTAAAAATAATTAAAGCTGAAGGATAGCTTACATTTTATCCCTCACTATTTTGAGGGTGTAGTATTTTTAAAGCAAAAAAATTATACTTATTGTTTGTTTTTAAGTAAAACTATTGGCCTAGACCACAAATATGTTATTTACACTAATACACACCATTAAAATTCCCATAGTGCTACTTTCTGGACCTCAGTGGAACTTATCTCCAGACTGACTTCTGTTCCACTGTGTTTATGACTGTATATGCATACGCCGCATATTTGCTGTCAGTAAAAATTCACATCGCTCAGCCAGTGAGCGGGAACCGGTCTCCACATGGGATCCGAACCCTCAGCGGGAGCGCCGCCACACTCCCAAGCAGCACACTCTCCAGTGCACCACCAGGCCGGCCCTAAAGATGTCTTAAATGACATATTTTTTACTTATTTTACAGCTCCTCCTTCAAGATATTATCCATATTACCTTTTTTTGTCATTCTGTTATTCATAATATTCACAGTGGTTATTAGAGAGTAGAGACAGAGAAAGAAAGACAGATACGGAGGGACAGAGAGAGAGAGAGGAAGAGATGTGGGGGAGAGAGAGAGATTGATTTCTCAAATGAGATGGGTTGGATAAAGGACCTTATCAACTTAGCCAAAAAGGAAATGAATATTGTCCCCTAAAATGGCATGAATCAGGCGTTTAATCATAATGAAATAAGCAATTTCCTGCACTGCATTACCACCGTCTAGCACAGCTGAACCACAGATCTGTACTGCGAAGCTGAACAATGTCAAGTTCAAGAGTACTTTCAGGAAGGAGTCAACTCACATGAAACGTTCTAGCATAGAAAAAGGTAGAAAGGCCAGAGGTGGAGAAATATAAAAAATAGGTCTGAAAGTAAAAAAAAGAGAGAGAGAGAGAATTTTCCCAGAAAAACTTTAAACTAGGCCATTATATAGAAAATAGGTATTCCACCACTTTTACATCTCCTCATGTGCTCCCATAGACCCAGACATTTTTGCACAGAGGAAAATAACAAAGTGAAGGGTGAAGGACATCAGGCCTAGAGTGTCATGGTCCATCGCAGTCACAGTTTTCATTCCCCCCC